TTTTCAATCGTTTGTTGACCTTTTTCGAATTTAAATGTGTCCGAAAACAACAACGGTAAATCACGAAACACAAAGTTTGTCTCTCCTGCTATCGCGAACGAGATATTTCGCGATTCCATGTCGTTCATTGGACTCTTCGAACGAGTCGTTTCGCATCTCTGTTTACCAATATTTACTACTCAAAATACATATTTATTAAATATCCTATTTGTAGCATCGCTAAACAGTACAATGCAAAGACTCGCGAGATATCTCGTCCATAGATGCGAAGGGGTTGATACGTATCATAAGAAAGTGTATTTTCATTTTGTGTAAGTACACTGTCCAATATTAATTTTTTAACATTTTTCTTCCTTCTAACACTGCCAAACAAACTTTTAATTTTTTTTTGTTTTATAGTATGTATTAAATGTTATTGTAGTTTTAAAAACCATTCCCCTTTGCTCTCTTTTTTTCCACGATATTGACACTTCAAATGCGCAATTTAATGAAGTTCCGTTTATACCAAAACAATCTATAAGAGGCGTGCAATTGTTGTTGCAGGACCAATATTTTACTGGAGAGTGTAATTATTTCTTCGTATAACCTATGGTCTGTTTTTCGAAAGATGATGCCTGGGAGGTAGGCCCGTGTTTTCGCGGTGTTGCCGCGATCGCGAGACACCTACGGTACTTGTGTCTCTCTCACTCCTCGCATCTTGGCCAATGACGTGCGACCGTCGACGTGAGTCCTCGTCTACGTCGTCTGTCTCTTATCACACGTATTACAAACCTGTCGAGAAGGACCTGCCTACAATCTCAATGAATGAGGACTGCAGGCAGTTCAAAAAGATGGCGTTTCGTCTAGGGGTCGTCCACCGTCAGCCCCACTGACGAGTCTTGATAGACGATTCCCGAGATCCCCCATGATGAGTAGAATACGATGCGATAATAAAATAGCTTAACCTTGAATTTCGAGGTAAAGGTCACTTTTGCGGTCGCTTTCTTTTGCAAATCTCTACCGATCCAGAGGTATAGAATAACGCTATGGTAGCCGTGACACTGAATTTTCAAACACCCTGTACAGTATTATGTCCGGTTTAAGTATATACACGCTATTATTTCTGTAATTATTGAATATGCAAAAAAATGTTTCATGTGAACGTTGTTTAAAGTCATGGAATAAACTTAACAGAATATTTGAATTATTTTCTAATTGTTATTTAGAGAGACTTTAATAATAATGTAATTTTTATAAAGGAACTATATATATTTAGTATTATCATGTTATTGGGTAGTTCAATACGAATTCAACGACATATTTGAAAGTTCAAAAAAGGATTTAGTTCAAATTCGTTAGGATTTTTCAAAGAAGCGCCGGATTGGTTCCAAGAATATCGATACATAATCGACAGTTCGAACAGAGTTGCGCAGATTCCGTAAATACGTTAACGCACGCGCTCTAACGCACCACGGTCGCGAAATTCAGGGACGAAACTAGCAAATCGGTGTTGGGCGCACGTAATCGTTGGCAGACTCGCAGTATGGTGCTAGAGCGCCCTGTTCTATTTATTTTGGACGAACGCGTCTCTTAGATTTTCATTTTGAAACAATGACAAATACCAAGTCTTGGTACCGTCTTTTTTCCTTTCATACAGTTATTCGAGAAATTATTATTGAAACAGAATTTTCAAATATGTCGTTGAATTCATCTTGAAATGCTAAATAAGACGACATTAATGAAAACATATAGTTCCGTTTAAAAAGATTACATTGGTATTAAAATCTCTACAAATAACAATTAAAAAAAATTAAAATGTTCTATTAAGTTTGGTCCGTTAAATCAAACAACTTTTATATAAAATATTTTTTCGTATTTTCAATAGTTAGATTAGTAATAGCATGCGTACACTTATACCAGGCATACTGTGTGTCAAATTTCCGTTCAGGCCGCTCGAGAAAAGCAGAACCGAACTTACTTTCTAGCGAAGCCGGGGCAATAATGTTTGTATGTATTGCTATATGCAGTCACGGGTGTATGTGTGCTATGCGACATCATGATGTCAAATGTAGTTCTTGAAGTCAAAAACTTTTATGTAAAGTGTGCTCGAACCAGCGCGATTTTTGTGGGACACCGAGTCCCATAAGATGTTACTATAAGGTTTACTCATAGACATATACAGGGTGAGGCATTTAAAACCAGCCACCTGAATAACGTGGCAGCTATTGGTGATAGGAAAAAATGTATCAGGCCAAAATTATTTGGTATTGACAGGCTGATAGTAAATTATTTTCCATCACAATTGGCTTAACCCAGACCACGAATGACCTTTCCAATAGATCATTGTATTCGTCTTGAAATACTCTATCAGAATGTAAGTAAAAAAACATACCCTTCCATTTAAAAAAACAGCGATGACCTTCATATCTCCTTGGCGCCTCCACCTATCAAGAAACTAGTAACATCGGATGATAGACCCCTCGATACCAAATAATTTTGGCCTGATGCATTTTTCCTATCACCAAAAGCAGCCAAGTTATTCAGGTGGCCGGTTTTAAGTGCCTCACCCTGTATACAAGGGTCTCGCGATTATTGTCCCGAACTCGGGTCCGCGCAGGGACTATGTATAACCGTGGACCACGCGAGACGCTCCTAACCTTCGGGAATACATTTTTTGCCCGAAGCTCAAGCCTCGGTAACTCGTCTTTGTAGTATTCCGAACGTAGAAAAGGACAAGCCAGTGAAAAACAGAGAGATAGCTTCTTTTCCTACTCGATTCGGCTACGTGGCCCGCCTGCCACGCTCTGGCCGACCAATGTTTACATTATAGCCGATCACAGAGTCCGATTGTGTGTGTGTACCGTTTGGGCCAATAATAAAAATGTGTGACTGGAGGTGAACCAGCTACATTTTATTCGTCGGTAGCTCTCTGGGCAGTCGCTAACGATTGAACGCTTCAACTAATCGTCGTACATTCCCTGCTCCACCCATTGAGTCTACCGAGCGCATACATTGGCGCGCGAGACAATGCTAATGCAACGATGAAACTTTACTATTTTTGATACGTTGTTAATGAAACTTTTACTAGTATATTGGTGAGATTTTTCTGATTAAAATGATACCAAATATGACATAATTTGGATCATATTTACTCATGCAGAAAGTGTTAATAGTTCATATTAGTATATTATCGATTCTGATAAATCATAAGTGAATATGACCCAAATTGTGTCGTGTTTGGTATCATTTCAATCAGAACAATTCACCAATATGTTCATAAAAGTTTCATTCATAAAGAACCAAAAATAAATAAGTTTTATCGTTGCATTAGTATTGTCTCACTAACACCCGAGAATTCTCCGCCCCCTGCGCGAGTACTTCCCCTGCCTCCATGTGGCCCAAGCCTAAAAAAGTTGGTCGGGTTGGAAAGCCGGGGGAAACAGTCTCCCCGGGTAATGCCCACCGCAGTCCTATTGCAGGGCTGTGTGATATCTACCGACATTACGTCACAGACGGGCCTTGTGGGGGAGTAGCAAAACTCCCTCCTCCCGGGAGGAATGAGCCAAACTAAACTGAACTAACACCCGAGAATGTAACCTTTTTGTGGGCTCCCAACGTTCAGTCGTGGGCTCGTGGACGTGTAGCCGTCTCGGCGCACCGCGGCAACAAAGTATCCGGTTGCCCAGTTCCAGCCTCCCCACCGGCCCACCCCCAGTGGTGGGGATGACGCCTGGACAATAATCGCATATCAACAAAGAGTCAATAATCGCGAGGCCCCTGTAATAGACTGCGTGATCTTATAGTAGGGATGAAGTCGGCACTAGAAGGAGAGGACAATAACTGATGTAACTTTTTCTATCTTTCTAATGGGGCTGTTGGTGGGGGATTCTCCTACGGCGTAGTGGAGGCATTATATGCGTTCTCGTCGCCCTGAAGTTATTCTCTCCCCTCCCTCTGCGTTGTGCGAGCAAGAGAGGTGTTTCTCCAGCTCTACTTCTATCTAGTGATGGGATTTGGAACGCTTCGAATCGTTTTGAATCTATACATGGACGAAAACTTCGAATCGCTTCGAATCTGATTCGAAGCTACAAAAGTATTGAAAGTCTTGAAAGTCTTGAACGGATTCGAAGTCTTGACCAGATTCGATGTCTTGAACGGATTCAAAGTCTTGAGCGGATTCGAGTCTTGAACGGTCTTGGAAATCTTGGGAGTTCTCTACGCACAGCCTCTTAGCGAGACGTCTGGGTCGTCGATAGTTTGTATATTTTCATGGATAGGCTGTGCGTGACGAATCGACCGAACGCATTGAGGGCACGTCCACTTAGGAGTGCACTCCCACTGTCTTTCCTAAAAGACATTTTCCTCAAGATTTCCGAGACTGTTCAAGACTCGAATCCGCTCACGACTTCGAATCCGTTCAAGACTTCGAAGCCGCTCGAGACTTCGAATTGCCTCGGAACTTCGAATCCGTTCAAGACTTTCAAGACTTGCAAGACTCTCAAGACTTTTGTAGCTTCGAATCAGATTCGAAGCGATTCGAATTTGTCGCTCAAATTCAAGACAGTTTCGAATCGATTCGAAGCGTTCCAAATCCCATCACTACTTCTATCCTTCGGTCTCGCTTCCCCCAGTAGCATTGATGTTTGGCCAACGGTGGCCAACGGTTGGGAGTTCGTTAGGTTATAGTTAGTGTCTTGGGGACATAAGGGCTGCAAGGGTCTCGTCGGAGTACGTCGCCTGGGCGAGAACTCCAATGGAGATGATGTTCCACCAACACCCGGGCGAGCTTGCTCGTCCGGTGCGGGGAATTTCGGCGAAGTTGGGGGCCCGACCGGCTCAAAGTCCACTCAGCGCACCTCCACGTGGGGTCCCTGGGTCTCCGCCCCAGTTGTTGGATATCGCTTCTGCGAATACCAATTTGTTGGGTGCGGAGCGCGAACGCGGTGAGCTGGCACACGATGGGAATACATATGACGACTGGGCAAGTTGGGAGTGGGTTGGGCCCGCCCGAAGGGCCCATAATGAATATGAATATGGACACAACAGGATCGAACGATTACGGTGCAGGGGACGTCGGATCCTCCAGTACCGGCGCGGAGGGAAGTTCTCGCCCGAGCTCCCCCGCGTCATTATCCGACAATCGGGTAGACGCCGTGGTGGACCACCAGGCCACGGCTCTCGGTATGCCAACTGGCGAAGAGGTGTCAGGGGCAGGCACTATGTCTGCTCCTGCATCTGTGAGCGGGAGGAGGGGACGAGGAGTCCGAGCCGCTGCCTCGGGATCGTCTAGGTACGGTGGCTCGCGGGTGCTGCAGCCGTGTGTTCACCTGCAGCGCCTCGCGGGCACCCATTAGCGACGACGACGAATCGGACGACTCGGAAGCGTCGACGTCCACGGTGTCGGCGGCGTGGGTTTATTGCGACGCCGTCGGCCCGGGCGCCGCGAACGAGGCGACGACGGGGCGGAAGCGAGGTCGGCCCCTCACTACGGGGGTATATGTCGGCCTCGCCGAAGCCAAAAAGCGGCTCCTAGAGCTCAAGCGCCAGGAGCTAGAGCTCTACGACGAGGCGGCGGTGGTGGACCCCACGGTTCCGCCACCACGCGTGTCCCAATCGTGCAAGCCGCTCCGGGACGAGGCGAGGGTGGCCGCAGAAATGTGGCATGCCCCCACGCCCGATCTCGTGGCGGTGATCGCCGAGAAGGTAGCGGTGGTTGAGAAGGTGGCAGGGACCTCCAAACACCTTAAGGGGACCTACGTCCACTCGCTTCGGGAGGCAGCGTTGCTCATCAGACACGCTGCCGCCGAACAAGCGAAGAGGACGGTGGCCTCCGAGAGGGAGGTCGAGTTCGAGCGCGAGGTCAGGCACCTGTGCGCTCGGCTCGAGGCCACGGAGGCGTTGTCGCGGGCACGCGACGACGGGCTGGCAGCAGGCGCGACTGGGGCTCCAACCCTAGACCCGGTCGCTGTGCCGCAGCCCCCGCCTACGGGGCCGCCCTCGCCACCTGGCTCGCGCCGCTCTCGGCGAGCCTCTGCACGCGCTGCCGCCGGCGTTGCGCAGGTGGAGCCAGCGCCGCCTCCGGCGCCGCTCTCTCCCCCGCGAGTGGAGGGCGAGGCGTTTTCCGGCGTGCCCGGCGAGTTGCCGGCCGCGGAGCGCCCGCCCGCCCGCGCGGAGATAAAGAGGGTCGTGGAGAGGCACGTGGAGCGTCTCTTCGCGGCCTTCGAGGCGCGCTTCATGGCGTGCCTTGACGGCCTGGGGGTCGGCGCTGTCCGGGAAGGGTCCCGACGCGCTGCTCCCCGCCCTTCCTCAGCCGCCCCGCCCGCCCGTTCTCGGTCGCGGCCGAGCGTCGCCGATAGCGGCACTCGTGCCGCGGACGCGGGCGGTGCGGTTGCCGGCAAGCGGTGTAAGAGGAAGCGGGGAGGGAGGAAGAGGCGGAAGAAACCTCGGGCGCCGGCTGCGGAGGGACAGCCTCCGCCGCCGCCTCCGCCTGCGAGGCAGGCCCCGCCGCCACGACAGAAGCCGGCGGAAGGCGACCCACCACCTGATGAGGGCCATGCGTCATGCTCCCAGGTGGTGGGCCGCAAGGAGCGCAAGAGGAAGGCCGCCGCCGCTGCTGCGCCAGCGCCGCCAAAGGCGGCGGTCGTCAAAACGCAGCAGGCGGCGCCTTCCTCTAGCAAACGCGATGGGCCGTCGTCCCCCACGCGTGCCGAGGCGGGTAGCCATTGCCCTTACGGTGGCCCCCGGCAGCAAGATCCCGTACGCAGAAGTGATGCGGCGGGCTGTTGCCGGGGTGCCCCTAGCGGAGGTCGGTATCACCGACCTTCGCTACCGTAAGGGCCAGACAGGGTCCTCCATATTGGAGGTCCCCGGGCCGGAGAGCTCCGCCAAGGCGGATGCTCAGAAATGCGGTTAGCCGGCCTGGACGAGTCGGTGACCGCGGCGGCCGTGGCGGCTGCGGTAGCCCGCGTCGGCGGCTGTAATGCGCTGTGACGCGCAGGCACGGCTTCGTCACGGCGCTCTATGGGCGCCTGGCGGTGGTCGGGGTGTACGCTCCCGCGAGCATGCCTCTCGCGGCGTTTAAGACGCTGTTGGACGGGATCCGGGCTTTTATATCCCGTGATCCGACTCGTCCAACATTGGTCCTGGGAGACTTCAACGCGAAGTCGACCCTTTGGGGTAGTCCCAGGACCAACGCGAGGGGTGATGCCGTGGAGGACTGGGCAGCGAGCACGGACCTTCGGCTGCTCAACCGGGGGTCTGCGAGCACGTGACCACCTCTACATCATGTTTGATGTCTCCGCCACGCCTCGGGATCACCCCGCTCGCTGTCCGGATACGCTCCGACCGACATGCTGGGCGCTCAAGCGCCTAGACGAGAACGCGCTTACGGCTGCGTCCCTCGCCGTGTCCTGGCCGAAAGTTCCGGCCGGACAGGTCGCGAACGTCGACAGGGAGGCCGAGTGGCTCCGAGAAGCATTGTCCACTGCGTGTGACGCAGCAATGCCCCGAGCCAGGAAGCCCTCCCGGCGGGCCTCGTATTGGTGGAGCGACGGCATTGCTGCGTTGCGTGACGTTTGTCACGCGGCGCGGCGTCGCTTCACCAGGGCCCGCTGGAAACGGAATCGCGACCTGGCGAGGGAACGCGAGCTCTATGGAGTCTACCGACGAGCAACGGTAGAACTCCAGAGAGCCGTCAGGGAGGCCAAATCCCGTGCCTGGAGCGAGCTCCTGGACACACTGGACCGTGACCCGTGGGGCCGGTCGTACCGCGTCGTCCTTGGACGTATGCGGCCGGCTGGGCCCCGGTCACGGAGTATCTTGACCCCCAAGCCCTAGAGCGTGTCGTCGATACCCTCTTTCCGGTTGATCCGGAGGAGGGCTCGCGACAGCTTGGGCTGCCGGCGGACCCGAACACCTGGTCCGCCGACCTGGGGGTCACGCGAGAGGAGCTCGCGGATGCCGTCGCGCGCATCTGGGCCAATAAGGCTCCGGGGCCGGACGGCATCTCAGGCCGGGCGCTGAGTTTGGCCTCACGCGTCCTCGGGCCCCGCTGCCGTGGAAGCGGGGCCGGATGGTCCTCATCCCGAAGCAGGGAAAGCCCGCAGACTCTCCGTCTGCCTACAGGCCGATTCCTCGACGAGCTGGGGAAGCTTTTTGAGCGAGTGCTCGCTTCCCGCCTCTCGAGGAGCATGGCTGGGGGTGGTCTGGCAGACTGCCAGTACGGTTTCCGCGAGGGACGGTCGACGCTCGATGCGATCGACCACATCCGTTCCCTGGCGGGCCGGGCAGTTTCCAGCGGTGGTGTTGCGCTGGCGATATCTTTGGATATCGCCAATCTGTTTAACACCATCTGCTGGAACACGATCCGGGAGGCACTCTATGAACACGGAGTGCCTCAGTATCTCCGGGTCGTGCTGTCGGACTACCTGGCCGATAGGCGGATCGAGTACCCCGGCCAAGGGGGCTCGATACAGAGACGGAGGGTCAACCTAGGCGTGCCGCAGGGGTCCGTACTGGGACCCCAGTTATGGAACCTGGGGTACGACTCGGTTCCGCGCGGGCCCCTCCCGTCCGGTGTGAGTGTCGTCTGCTATGCAGACGACACTCTGATCATCGCGGTTGGGAGGGAATGGATGAGGACCATCCGGTTGGCAGAGGTGGGGGTGGCACTCATTGTCGCCCGGATCCGGGCACTGGGGTTGCACATCTCGCCGCAAAAGACAGAGGCGGTCATGTTCCATGGCCTGCCTCTGTCTCGGCGAGCCCCTAGTGCCTGGGTCCGAGTAGGAGACGCCTGCGTCCAGATCGGGGAACGGATGAAATATCTGGGCCTCGTTCTGGACAGCCGCTGGCGCTTCGAAGTTCACTTCGACCGCCTGGTCCCCCGGATTCAGGGCGTGGCGACCCTCCTGGGTCGTCTTAGCCCAATCTCGGGGGACCAGATGAGAAGGTACGCCGCCTATACATGGGGGTGGTGCGGGCCATGGCCCTATACGGTCATCCCGTATGGGCCCACGACCTGGTGGCCGGCCGGCGCTGCCGGCTGCTATTGCGGCGTGTCCAGCGCAGTATGGCCATCCGGGTCGTGATGGGCTACCGCATCATCTCGCATGAGGCGGCGGTCGTCCTGGCGGGGTTTGTTCCCTTTGATCTCCAGGCGGAGGCTGACGCCGATGTATATCGGCGTCTCCAGAGCCTCCGCTGGAATGGGACGGACCCGCCGGACGACGAGGTCGAACGAATGAAGCGCCAGGCTCGACAGCTCGCTCGCGAGCAGTGGCCGTGCCAGCTGGTTGACAGCGGCGCCGCCCGGCAGCGAGCCGTCGGGACCTCGTGTGAACGCACCGCCACCGACCCGCCTGTGCTCCCCTTATCGGTGAGCCCGTTCCGTGGGGGCGATCGAACGCCCCCCAGAGGTGACCGATACCCCGGTCACCCACCCTTCTCTACTCCGCCGGCGTCAGAGGACTGCACTCCGTTGCCGGCACGACCGGGCCGCTTTGGATGCAGTCGGGGACCCCACCCCGACTGCACCAGCGGCCAGGACGGACGCGCGCACGAAGGCGGGAGCCACAGGAGCCGAAGCTCCGGCTCCCGATGTCCACGCAAGCGTCCGCCCATACGCACAGGCCTCGCCTGCCGGCGAACGAGGAGTCACCTACGGGGGGGGGGGAAGCCCCGCCCCGCTCTCCACCTCTCTCGACGAGCGGTATCGCGCGCCTCGCGGTCCCGCTCGTCGTTCTCCTTCCGCGAGACGACGGCCTCGCAGAAGGAGGACACCGCCCTCCACGATCTCCCGCTCCCCACCATGGCCGCAACCACGGCCAGGAGCGAGAGGTCTCCCCCTATCTCTAAACGGAGCGCCCGCCTCTCCCTGGCAAAGGCCGGGCACTCCTCCAACACGTCCGAGTCAACCTCCGCGCTGCACTGGTGGTACTCTGCCGTCGCCTCGGCTCCAACCCTCTTCAGGTACCCCCGAAGCATCCGTGCCCGGTGAGCACCTGCGTGAGCCGGTAGGATAGCCTGCAGTGCCGTCGGTCCAGCCATCCATCAAGGACGGGCAGGACCGCGCCCACGACTCGCAGCCGGGCGGCGCCGCTGTCGTGCAGCTGGCGCCGCCACTTTTCATGAGCGAGTCGCCGGCACTGGCGCTTCATCACCTCGACCGCGTCGTCCGGCGTGTCGACCCCGTTCCGGCGGAGGCCCTGCAGACACCGATACAGATCGGCGTCAGCCTCCGCCTGGAAATCAAAGGGCACGACCGCTGCCAGGACGGCCGCCGCCTCGTGGGAGATGGTGCGGTACTCCTCGCGATCCTGATGGCCATGCAGCGCTGAATCCGCCGCAAAACCGGCTGCCCCGCCGGCGGGCCATCAGGTCCCGGGCCCATACGGGTGACCCGTATAGGGCCTTTGCTCGCACCACCGCCATGTAGAGGCGGCGTACCCTCTCCTCCGGCCCCCCGAGATTGGGCTGCAGACGAACCAACAGGGTCGCCACGCCCTCAATCCGGGGGACCAGACGGTCGAAGTGTCCTTCGAAGCGCCAGCGGCTGTCCAGGTCGAGGCCGAGGTACTTCATACGTCCCTCGACCCGGACACAGGCGCCTCCTACTCGGACCCAGGCCTGGAGGACCCGCCGCGACAGAGGCAGTCCATCTAACATGACTACCTCCGTCTTTGGCGGCGAGATCTGCAACCCCAGGTCCCGGATCCTGGCGACGATGAGTGCCACCGCCACCTCCGCAATGCGGATGGTCCTCGTCCACTCTCTCCCGACCGCGATGATCAGCGTGTCGTCTGCACAGCCCCCAACTTCGCCGAAATTCCCTGAACCGGACGAGCAAGTTCGCCCGGGTGTTGGTGGAACATCAGCTCCAACGGAGTTCTCGCCCAGGCAACGTGCCCGGACGAGACCCTTCCAGCCCTTATGTCCCCAGGGTAGGGTCATCCCTACTATAAGCCGCGCAGTCTATTATACAGGGTGTTCGACTACTAATGGGACAAAAGTTAAGGGGTGATGCTTTGGGGCAAAATATGATGAAAATCAAGAATAACGAAATTGCAACAAATGCTTCGTTTGTTAGTTATAAGCGTTTAAACATTGACACAAATGATGGCAATCCGCACGCACGGAGTGTCAGCGAGGTAGGGTTCGTAAGACTTACCCGGTAGAAGATGTCAATAACTTGTGACCGTGGTATTTGAATCGAATCCACTTGTATCGCATTAAGTCTGATTACTCGATAATATTCTCAAGAAATGTAAATATCTTCTTACGAATATTATCGAATAGAGAGGGTTAATACCCCCTCTGGTTATCACGTACAGCAATTGTCCTGTCCATGAGTATCTATGAAATTAATCCGAGCATGCATGTACACCACAGAAGTCCGCAAAAAATGTCCACACACACTGCGCGATTGTCCCGACCGCGATAAATGTCCACACACACTGCACGATTGTCCCGACCGTAAAAGATATTCACACACTGCGCGATTAAGTAGACCCGCGAGCTGTCCCTCCGTTGGGTTTAACACTTTACAGGTTACACAAAACTAACACTCAAAATAATTAATTTAAAACTACTTAACAGTAATTTTTAACCTCCACTAATTAATTTATCACTATGTATACTAATTTTTAATACGCCATAATTAATAAAACCTACAATATTTAATAAAACCTGCAATAATGAATAAAATCTACAATATTTAATGAAACTTGCAATAATTAATAAAATCTACAATATTTAATAAAACCTACAATATTTAATAAAACTTACAATAATTAATTTGCACTATTT